GAGCCTTCTGTATCCGTGTTGAGATTTCGTCACACACCATACCACAAGGGCTGATGAGACTTCCAAGATAAGTGAAGCGGTCGACACGCTCAACTACTTCACTCCCTATCACTAGTTCGGGTGTCGACGCAACCCAATCCTGAAGCAACATTTTGCATTTCGAGGGAGAAAATCGTATGCCGAACATGCCTGCATTGTTGCTTAGAGTGGTCAGCAGACTCTGCATTTTGTCAGCGTCTTCACCAAATAGAACTATGTCATCGGCATATTCTAAGTCAACAAGTGGATCTCACGGTAGAAGTTCAACTCCTAGAAATTTAGATGAGGAAAGTGTCATCTCTAAAAGGACGTCAACAACAAAGTTAAACAAGAATGGAGAGAGTGGACATCCCTGACAAACACCACTTGAGGTAATCAATTCTGATGACAGTTCACCATAAGCTCTCACTCGACCAGTTGTGTTCGAGTAGAAAGCCTTTATATGGTTAATGTACTTCTTTGGTACTCCTTTCAGTGACAAACACTGCCATAGTTTAATTTAATCTGACAGATGGAAAAAAGACTTATTTGAGTATACTTAGTATTTCGTATATAGTTTTGCTAGCATGCATTCATTCAGTTTAGTAGTCGTAAATCAATAGTTATTTAAACATTTAGTTAGATTCGTAGTACACTGAAATATGTCGTGTTTTTTATAAAGACCTATAGTTTAATATTGTAATGTAGACATTAAAAAGATGTATACAAAAAGTTAATCGTCATAAAAAGTCTATTAACATTAATCAAAGCTAGTCGAACCATTGTGATAGGTAAATTAAATACAATGTAGTAAGTCAAACATTATTTAACATACCATCTCTAATGTTATTCATCCAACAACTGTTAATGTGACAAGCTAATAGATATAGTCTAACAAATTAGTTATCCAAAAGCTATATTGTATCTCACTTAAACTTGTCAATCGATCACCATTCAGTATGTGCATATTAGAAGCCTTCTACTCCCACGAGTCAATAATATTATTTATTACAGATTTTTAAGTTCTGATATATTTTTCTGACTTTGTACCAACTATTGAAATCCATTTCACATAACAGTATTCATACTATTCACAGTTAAGAGGAGTATAAACGTTAACTATGAGCCTGTGTTATTAAAAGAAAAACAGAATACATTCACAAAAGTGCTTTACACATTGACACTTTTCAGTCGATCATCATTTTGTAAACAATACATATAACATTAAACATATTATTATTATTGTCTACTGTGACACAATTTGAGTAATCCTATGAACAAACAATAATAAATAATTAAAATAACCCAGTGTCATTGAATAAGAAAAAGAGAATTCAGCGAAGAAAATTTCCTTTTCGACGAAATCACTTACTTAAACTATACATTCGTATATATATAGTTTTATATGGAAAATGTATGTCTATAGGAGGACAGAAAAAATTGCATCACCAAATTGGCTTCGAGAATAAATAACAAGTGAGGTTACGTACTAATCAAGGAGTAAGGAAGAAAATCGTTTATGGGTCAGATAATAGTCCAATTACTAGAATGGGTTTTGTGGAGAACTGGTAATTTCAATAGTTGAAATCATGAATCAATTGAAGCTAGACCACCATGGAAAACCTGGAAGCAGTGGACGACCGTTTCGTCCTAGTATGGGACTCCTCAGCCGTCCAGTGCTTCCAGGTTTTCCATGGTGGTCTAGCTTCAATTGATTCATGATTTCAACTATTGAAATAGTCCAACTGACAAATATGAAGAAAAGCGACAAACACGAAGGTCATAATAATAAACTGAATAATAATCAAGAAAACTTGTATAAGGTAATAATAATAATAATAATAATAATAATAATAATAATAATAATAATAATAAGAAGAAGAAGAAGAAGAAGAAGAAGAAGAATAGATTAGAGTTTAAAATGCAAAATAGTAATTTAAAAAAATTCGATAATAATCGAATAAAAGTGCAGATATGATATGATTTTTAACAGGTTGTAAAATGTCAACTAACCATTTAGCAATCAAGTGATGTGATATGATATCAACGTAATTGGTGAAAAATTGATCTCATTACATGTCACCTCGCTTTTTACATATGTTCCGCTCACAGAAACTACATGTTTTTTATGTGACTATATTGCAAACAACAATTTTGATATATGTATCCCTAAACATTATCTAAAAGAATTACTTCTACGATGTACGCCCAACGTGCAGTTTAGATTTATTGATGATTTCTATAGACAAACCGATAGAGTTGCAATGGGTTCTCCATTGGGCCCTTTCTTGGCTGATTCCTTCATGGTCAATCTGGAAAATTCTCTACTTCATCAAGTAAATGAGATTTCATTTATATAAGAGATATATAGATGATACTTTCATTATTTGTGAAGAAGACATGGACCTAAATGAAATTTTGGAAAGTTTTAATAATTGTCACCCCTCAATTCAATTCACCTTAGAAACAGAGACAAACAATGAATTTCATTTTCTTGATGTTCGATTAAGAAGAATGCCTGATGGTTTTTTACAGCAATCTATATATAGAAAACCTACTTGGAATGGGCAGTATACTAATTTCCATAGTTGGGTCCCATTGAGTACAAAGAGGGACTTAATTCACTCTTTATCCTCTAGGATTAAGCGAATCCGTTCCACTGACACAATAGATAAGGAACTAATTCAACTTCGACAATTTCTCATCAGAAACGGTTATCCACCTAGATTCGTCGATAGTAACTTAACATCTAGAACTCATCATGAGAAAGTATCAACAGTACAGACGAAAACCTTGTTCATGAGAATGGAATTTAAAGAAAACACGGCTGCTGAAATCTTAAATAAACGGATTTCAAAATCATTGGATAAAAATGTCTACAAAGCCAAGCTCCGAATTGTTTTTTCAAGTCGACCTACCATTCCTGGATGTGTTAAAATACACTTCCGCTTTGAGCTACATCAGTGTGTATTTATAAATTTACGTGCTCATGTGGGGCTCGTTACATAGGCCAAACAATACGATCACTTTCCAAACGCATCTCAGATCACTATCCAGTTTGGTTTTTAAAAGGAGAATGTAAGACACATCGCTCCCAAGGATTCTTCTTTTAAAGTGATTTACAGAGTCAAAGGAATTGTATCGAAGGGGCGTCGAATCAATATTTTATGCCCTGATGAGGCACTGACAATTCACGAACTCAAGCCCGAACTCTGCGTGCAGAAACGATTTGTCCAACCTCTCATCCTTCCTTGGCCCTAATTCCCTTAATGGGTATGTTTTTGTTTTTTTTTCTGCACTTTTATTTGATTATTATCGAATTTATCATTATTATTACCTTATACAAGTTTTCTTGATTATTATTCAGTTTATTATTATGACCTTCGTGTTTGTCGCTTTTCTTCATATTTGTCAACTGGACTATTATCTGACCCATAAACGATTTTCTTCCTTACTCCTTGATTAGTACGTAACCTCACTTGTTATTTATTCTCGAAGCCAATTTGGTGATGCAATTTTTTCTGTCCTCCTATAGACATACATTTTCCATATAAAACTATATATATACGAATGTATAGTTTAAGTAAGTGATTTCGTCGAAAAGAAGAATAATAACTAAATGACAGAGAAAAAAAGCATAGTATAACTAATTATTTTAACTTTTAACTCCGATGGACAAAATAATCTTTATCAAGTTTTTTTAGACATATATAATAAGTTATTCAACAGGTATATTTGTATAGTGAATTAAGCTGATTTCGTGTAGTGTAGATTAAAATATATCTTGGTAAACGTAAGTTGAAATCATTTAATTCAAAATAATAATTACATATTCTCAATAAATTTATCACTAAGCACGAAATCAGTCAAAAAAAGTCAAGTTAGATTTGAAAAAATGAATGATTACATTTATGTGGTAAAAATAACAGAGAATGACATTTAGTCAACAAATTTCTGAATCCCTCTATCGGTATGGGTAATAGTCATTTTTAATTGATAATATAAATTACATTTGTACGGGCGTATGTTACTATGGTTAGTTCAGAGGTTAAAATCCATGCAAAATATTTGTAGCTTAGGTTTGAATTTATAGATATATCATTCAGTCAGTTAATCAATCATAAACAGCTCAGAAAATGAAGTGAAAGTGTGTCTATCCAAGTCTTTATATTTAACTTTAGCGTATTGATATGGAATTCAACAAAATTAATAGTAAAGGAGTCGTAATAATAGAAATATTGATAATACAATAAAGCTAAATATAGTTCGAAAGAACGAATGAAACGAGAAAAGAAGAGGTGAGAACCAATATTAACACTTGAGCCTTGAAAGAAGACAAAGGATAGATGCAACTGCCGGATTATGATTTATTATGAATAGTGTCGCTCAAAATATTTCTAAATATAGATTATAACTGGTGCATGAACCCCAACTAAAAATTCGGGACATTCTGGAACTTCCCAAACAGGCAACCAGTGATTTCAAGGAGCAACATCCTCTTGTATTTTGCCCAACACTGGTCTCCTCACCTGTTCTTATACAAAACTCGTACGTAGGGTTAGAAGGTGTTTCAGTATGCGTAACTCATATCCTAACCGCCACATATCCAACACCACAATTTCAACAACCGATTTATCATTTCTACTTAGTACTCTATTCAAAATCTTGGTGTTACTCAGTTCGTAGTTCTATAGTATACTAATAATTCTTCAACGGCATCTACTATCGTATATTAACAAACTACGCATTCCCTCTACCTTTAAGGGATGAACTTAAAAGCTATAGATATAAATTAAGCAGCTGAAGAGTGGACTCGTATCTGAAAGACAGACAGGTTGTCTACACTTATAGTGCAGCATTTTGGAACTGCCTGGTTACAAATTTAAGGGCATTGGATCAGTATTACAGAAATAAATAAATGAAAAGTCAATATATCACTGTTCAAAAAAGAGTGCAAATATATACAATATTACCTAACTTACCAACAGGATATACAGATGAATTATCACACGAAGACATTTTAAAATGACTAAATGAGGTAGAATAGTTAATTTTTTTCGACGATATATCAGCAATTGATGATAATGGAGCTGGAGATGAAGTTGATGATACTGTTTCTGTTGTTAAAGATGAGGAGGAAGCTGGCGTAGATAATATATATGAGGACGATACTGTATCCAAATTTAATGAATGTAGTATATCTAACGGATTGTTGGTTAATTTACTTACTGAATTATCTACAGATTTTAAAATATTTAAATCATTCGAATTTTGATTCGTAACTGAAGTGTTATTAATATTAGTAGTTGTTGTTGCATTGTGTGCACTACTCAGAAGTGAACAGTCTGTAACAGAATATTCTCTAGTTTCAGAATCAGTTTCTGGTAATTCAATAAAATCAGGTGGTTCGATTAAACAGTTACTTAAATCCTCTTTTGGTCTGCAATAGGAAAAGGAATGAGACAATAATTAAATGTTAAGTAGAAAAGCAAAAAAAACCTAAGAATAGCATACAAGTAAATCAATCCAACATTCATTAAATACACATTAAAAATATGAAGAGGGTTTTTTTATCACGGAATGATATCAACTGGAGAAACAATGAGAACAATAAAGTACTGAGTAATCGTTTTGTTCTAGTTTTAATACCCCTTATTATTAACCGTTGGTGTATACATCTGGAGAATCTAGCTGATATTAATCTATGATGAAAGATGTCTCTAAAATGAACTAATCATCACAAGCTATGTAACAAGAAATATTGCACATATTAAAACCTGAAATGTCTGTTGACTGTAAAACTAGATTTCCGTAAACTAGTTAGGATTATTGGGTTGAACGTGTGCACAAACCTGATTTTATTTAAACTTATTGATGATCTCTGAATAATTAAACATTTTTTTTGACAAGACATCCGTCTACAATTGATTCAGAAATAACAACAGGAAATGTAACTAATCACATAAAACATTTTTTAATTGAACACCTACCCCCTATTACGTTATTTAACTCAATAACATTATAACTAATAAAAATTATTCGATAACTGACCATTATGAATATGTCGTCAACTACTATTGACCAAAATTAAGGATCACATGGCATCACGCATCACTTAAATAGTATCGAACGATTAAACAAATAAGCGATAATGAAACATTCAAGACTGTGGAACTTCATCTCTGAAAATGTAAGTTATAAAAAGCATCATACGTCTTAAAATAAGGCACGTTCAACTAAACTGTTACTGATGTCCCTAGGAGGTGAGTCAAATGACTAAAATGTTAATTACTTGCATTGCATAACAAAAAAAAATAAAGACTTTTGTTTAGAGGAATAATACATAGATAAGATGTTTTTATAATAAACATAGACTACGAGTGTCGGGGCAAGATAACGTAGACTACATGAGTGGTAGTATTCATAGCCTAATTTGATAATAAAGTTCGTAAGATTGTAAAATGGTACAAACAAATACAAAATCAGCAACTAGAACGTGTTAGAATATTAGGTGATTTGCTGTTGACCAAAATGAATTACCAATAAGTGTTAAATGAATTAATCCTTTTTTAAAAGAAACCCAGAAAACTAATACCTGATCAATTAGACAGGTACATTGAAAAGTGTCAATTGGTATTAAAATAAGAGAAGTAAAGAATTAAAGAACACAACTGAACCAAATCGAAGATAAAAAAATCACAGATATATAATGAAATATTGAGTGCAATAAACATGACCAAAACAGAATCAGTCATAGAAATCATAAACATAGCAGTAAACCAATGATTAAAATATTTTACAGGGGTAAACCATATCATTGTTTAGCTAAGAATTATGGATTACCAGTCAACTGATTAATTAATCAGAACAGTTTTATTGGTTAAAAGGTATCTTTGTGACCACTAAGCAATAACAACTGGGAGATATTAACGTATTTTTAAGGTGTTTTATGCTGTAAACTAACATCAACTGTAGAATAATTCAGCTAACTACATGTAAAATAATAATAACGTACACTGATTTCAGAACAGGATAAAAGGTCAGTGTATATTTGCGTAAATGGGTTTCTTTCAAATTAATTTCCTTCAGCTTAAAAAATTTATTTTTCATTGAGATTTCTTTGAAAGCTTTGAAAGATCGTCATTGTAGTCAATGAATGTCTTAAAGCTCGTCTGACACACCATTTGGACGCTTCTTGAATAAGTAGTGATGTTGAAGAGTATGAATAAGGATTAAACCATTGAGCTAATACTCTATTTCAAATATTAATAACTTCCTGAGATGAAAAGAAGCAACAGAATTATTAAGATAAACAATCAGTTAATTCTATTTCTTCCTGTTTATTGATGTTATAATAAACACATTTGTAGATATCATGACATCAAACAATAACAGTAATGAATACAGAATAGAAATGAGGCCAATAAAAGCAACATACAATCTGAATATTTATATGAAGAATTATCAAATGGGAAAAAAACAAAACCAATCAATAGATAATGGTTTAGAACTGGATTTCTTAATTCTGTTTTTCAAATCTGAATGAGTGAACATCAAAACAACATCATCTTACGATTTGCGTGTTCATATTAATATGTCTGTGTATGGAACAAGCAGGATTATGTCGAATGAATGACCTTGAGAGAGAACCATATATGTTGAAGATTAGTTATTATTTCGAGATGTACACAAGAAAAGTAACAGGAAATAAGATACAATGTTCATTACAAGGAATAGATTTAGCTTGATGGATGATATGAGAAAATACAAGGTAGCAAAAGAAGATACAGGTAATTCTGAGGCTTTAACTGAACAATATTCCACAAATCACCAACGTGAGAATATACAACCTATTTAAATAACTGAAATATATACATATAAGTGGAATAATCATATAATAAGAGGCATTTTTGTAAGACATGGGGGAAGGGAAAATCACTTCTCACAATGATCTTAAAGATTTACACATTACCACCGAAGGATAAGTTTGTAGTGTGTCTCCAGTTACATTACAAAACTTTGAGAAATGGATATAAGAAATACAAGGAATCATAAAGTATCTAATCTATCGAAAACGTTTAAACAAAAGAATTAGATTTGAACTTTTGACTTGCTAGTTGGCAGAGAGGAACTAACATCATGTTTAATTCAAGGGAAAACATATTGTAAATATATTTTAACCTAGTTCGCTTTTTCATATTTGTATATAGCCAGAAACATGAAATTACAACCAGAAAAGTTAATTCTTCAGTAGAAAACATAGCCGTTACTAAGTCAGAATTTAGCGGTTACAACTTATAGGATTCAGATATTTACAAAAATCGGTGAATCGCACATTACGAGTTTTGTCTACAAACTCGACACATTTTTATCCATTAGGCGAAACAAGTACTCTTCACTTATCAAAGACAAAGAAGGAAGACCAATCACTGAGATTCAACAACAGCAGAACAGATGGGCAGAGTACTTCGAGGAACTCCTGAATGGGCCGGCTCCAATGAATCCACCGGACATCGAAGCAGCACACACAGATCTTCCTATAAATGTCAATCCACCAACGACCGAAGAAATCAAAATGGCCATCAGACAAATCAAGAGAGGGAAAGCAGCAGGACCTGACAATATACCAGCTGAAGCGTTGAAGTCAGACATCCAAGTAACTACAAGCATGCTTCGTCTTCTATTCAAGAAGATTTGTGAGGAGGAACAAGTGCCGAAGGATTGGAAAGAAGGACACCTCATCAAGATTCCAAAGAAAAGAGATCTGAGGAAATGTTTATTTATTTTATTATTATTTGAACACATAAATACTGGTACAGGGGGGCACCAACTATATATGCGCCACACAAAACAATGATAAATTGAAGAGAAGGAGAAGAGAAAAAAAAGTAATGAAAGTGGGGAATTATAAAAAAAAAAGGGAGAGAGAACAATGGTGGGGGAAACGGAAAAGTACAATCAGAAGAGATCTTTCAGTTAAGGAAATAATGCACAACGTGGAATTCTCTGGGACGACATTCGTAGAACATGTCCAAGCCACCGAAGTCGGTGTTTCAAAATGGTGACACCAATTTCATTATCGTCTCTGTGACCGAACACTCGATGCCGAACCTCTGCATTACTGACATGGTGTTGCCACTGGATGCCAGCAATCCTTCGGAGACAACGATGATCGAACACAGAGAGTCGTCTAACATCCTCAACTCGGAGAGGCCAGGTTTCACAAGCATAGAGCAAAACTGCTCTCACCGTCGCGTTGTAGATCCGACCTTTTACAGCCAGACTAACATCACGAAAACGCCAAAGATGGCCCAGATTGGCATAAGCCGCTCTGGCTTTCACTATACGAGCATTGATTTCATCACTCACACCACCACCAGCACTTATGCAGCTACCTAGATCTACGAACTTCTCGACTACTTCTATCTGTTCACCATCCAAAGTGAGTACAGGATTAGAATCCTACCAGTCTTGTTAAAGTACTTTGCACTTCGAAGGTGCAAAGCACATACCATACCTACGGACATGGATTGCCAACTGATTAAGTGCGGATTGCATAGCTTGGGCATTCTCGCACAGTAAGATAACATCATCCGCATACTCAAGGTCGAGAAGTCTTTCTCCAGGCAACAGATCCACACCACCATTACTTACATCCATCAGAGCTGTTTCCAGAATGTCATCGATGGCAAAGTTGAAGAGGAATGGTGAGATTGGGCAACCCTGCCTACCCCCACTGCTCGAATGGAATAGTGGAGATAGGTGGTTGTATGCCCTCACTCTGCCTGAGGTGTTTGTGTATAGGGCTTTTAGGATGTTAATAAACTTCTCAGGCACACCCTTCTTCAATAAACAATCCCAGAGAACAGTTCTGTCCAACGAATCGAAGGCAGCCCTGATATCAAGAAACACTAAGATTGTTGGCCTTTGATAAGTATGGTGGTGTTCTAACACTTGGCGGAGGGTGAAGCTATGATCAATACATCCTCGACCAGAACGAAACCTTGCCTGCTCCTCGCGAGTCAATCTTTCTCGGGTTTTGAACAACCTACGAAGTATGACGGAAGCCAATAGCTTGGACGCAATCGGAAGTAGACTTATCCCCCGATAGTTGTTACAGGAACGACGTGAACCATTTTTAAAGATAGGGACAACTATCGACTCATTCCATGACGTTGGTACACTCTCTAGTTCCCAGATCTTTGTAAACAACGTCGTCAGTCCCTTAGTCAGAAAGTCACCACCATCTTTAAAAAGAGCCGGAGGTAAGTCGTCTGGGCCCGGTGATTTGTAGCGTTTCAAGAGTTGGAGTTCCCTGCGGACTTCCGCCTCATTTGGTGGATCAGTCGTCACCGGCCATGGAGGGCAGGACAGTCTGACCGATGTTGCCGGAGCAGCAGGCCAGTTGAACTGCCCTTCGAAAAATTTTGCCCATCGTCC